ATTTCAAAAATCTTCTTCTCAAGACTTAGATATGGTAGAATCAAATACTCTTCATAGATGGAAGGGTCCTAAGGTGCTTTACCACAATTGTGAATTTCATGACCCTGGGGTCTCACGTTTACCCCTGGGGAGGTGGTAAACTTTACTATAGTTTATATAGGGAAATCAGATTTTGGACCAATATTTGTTTAATTTCCATTGGAAGTAATTCAATTTGGGTAGCATTATCAGTATTGGATAGCAGTTTGATGGTATACATATATGAGCCCTGACTGACCCCCCNATTGTACCTCTATTAAGTAGAACTCTCTATTAAGAAAACACCTCTATTTATCAGACATCTCTATCAAGCAGACATTTCTTTAAGCAGACATTTCTATTAAGCAGACACCTCTATTAAGCAGAACTCTATATTAACAGACGTCTTTATTAAGCAGACACATAAGATAAGCAGCTACCCCTATAAAGTAGAAATCTCTATTTAGGATACACCCCTATTAGGCTGACATCTCTATCAAGCAGACATCTATTTTAAGCAGTTATCTCTATAAATCAGACACTTCTATAAAGCAGACACCTCTATTAAGCAGATTCCTCTATTAAACAGATACATATATTAAGCAGACACCTCTATTAAACAGAAATCATTAATTAGCAAACATTTCTATTAAGCAGACACCTCTAATAAGAAAATACATTGTACCTCTATTAAGTAGAACTCTCTGATAAGAAAACACCTCTATTTATCAGACATCTCTATCAAGAAGACATTTATTTCAAGCAGACACCTCTATTAAGCAGACACCTCTATTAAGTAGACACCTCTATTAAGCAGACACCTCAATTAAGCAGATACATCTTATAAGCAGTTACCTCTAATAGCAGACATTTCTTTTAAGCAGACATTTCTATTAAGCAGACACATATATTAAGCAGACACCTCTATTAAGCAGACACTTCTATTAAGCAGATATCTATATTAACAGACGTCTCTATTAAGCAGATACATATAATAAGCTGTTACCTCTATTAAGTAGAAATCTCTATTAAGGAGATATCTCTGTTAGACTGACATCTCTATTAAGTAGACACCTCTATTAAGCAGACACCTCTATTAAGTAGACACCTCTATTCAGTAGACACCTCTATGAAGCAAACACCTCTGAAAAGCAGCCAACTATATAAGCAACACACATGTGTTAAGCAGACTCATGTATTTATCAGACACCTCTATTAAGCAGACACCTCTATTAAGCAGACACCTCAATTAAGCAGTTACCTCTATTAAGTAGAAATCTCTATCAAGGAGAAATCTCTATTAAGCAGACATTTATATCAAGCAGACACCTCTATAAAGCGGACACCTCTATTAAGAGGATACCTTTATTTATCAGACATCTCATTTAAGCAGACACCTCTATTTAGCAGGCCATTCTCTTAAGCAGACACCTCTATTAAACAGACCTCATTATTAAGCAGACTTCTCTAATTAGCAGACAGTTTTATTAAGCAGACATCTCTAATGAGCAGACACCTCCATTTAGCTGTTACCTCTTTTAGCGCAGGTGCATGTCTTAAGCAGCCAACTATATAAGCAAACACCTGTGTTAAACAGACACCTTTATTTAGCAGACAACTCTATTAAGCAGACCTCTCTATTAAGCCGACACCTCTTTTAACACTTCTAGTAAACCCTAATTGTAAACAGGTGTATCACTGGTCCTCAGCAAGCAGAATCCGAGTATAAATCAACGTACTGTTTTCTCGGTGATATATTATTTTCATCAGGATTAAGATTATTTGAATAGTATTCTTGGTATGTTAGATTTATTTTTTCAAGCTTAAGGATTTTTGAATTTTGTTTACGCAGTCAATTTTAACAAACAAACACTAGACGTCATAGTAGCTATTGTGTATATAGCTTTCAGGTATTTTAAAAACTTACTGAGCTCATGATTTTTTAATTATTTTAATAAACATGCTAGTTTCTCACGGGTCCCAGATTACCTCACCTGAACACACAAAATGAAAATTCAAAGCATTAACAATTTTTATATAGAACGTACAAGCAAATGTTGACAATATATGGATATTTTCCTTTCAAAAAACTGCAAACGCAGTGAAAAATAAAATCGCCCACCATCATACCTGTGCGTCGTCTGTAGAAAGAAAAAAAGAAAAAACATAATACATGTAGTTCACATTTCCTGTCACGCGATACAACATATCAACCTTTATTAAAAAATATTGTCAGTTTAGACATATTTAAAAGACGACATGAAAAAAGTTTAAAATGTTTTGGTTGTGACAGTAGCATAGTATGGATTCAATAAGAATTTTTGAATTTATTGGACTTGTAGTGAGTCACGGGAACAGACCTGAGTTGAAATTTCAGGATTGGGTGTGAAATTATGCTCGGGATTTGTTTTGGCAGATTTATAATAATATATTTCATTATTGTTGTGTTTTTAAAAAAGGAAAACCATCAATACACGTTTAGCATTTAGAGCAAACACAACAACTGGTTTAAATATGATTGGAAGGAATACTATGTACCATTTGGTATTTCAGTCAGGTACATGTACATGTAGCCATCTAAATTCGGCATCACATCTGCGCTATCGCAAGGAGTCAAATACACCTGCATATTCCGTCTTTTCGTATTGCAGAGTTATCTGCACTTGTGAGCAGGTATTGATTGTTACGTCATTAGTTTGTGTGAGAAAATTACGTCGTTTTCTCAAAAAATGATGACGTTACTCTCACAAACAAATGACGTAACAATCATTACCTGCTATCAAGAGCAGATAACTCTGCAATACGAAAAGGTGGAGTAGTGCCTCTAGCATACATCCACACATGGGGGCACTTACTTTGTGTTAATAGAACGTCAATAGAAAAAATAAAAAAATCCCGTATCTCATATTCTGTCTTTGCGTATTGCAGAGTTATCTTCTCTTGGGAGCAGGTATTGATTGTTACGTCACTTGTTTGTGAGAGTAACGTCATCATTTTTTGAGAAAACGACGTGATTTTCTCACACAAACCAATGACGTAACAATCAATACCTGCTCCCAAGAGAAGATAACTCTGCAATACGCAAAGACGGAATNGTTTAACTAAATGGCCAGTTTGCTGCCCGGAAAACTCGGCGATTACAATTTGTCTGAACACTGTCTGACCTCTGAAATCGTTCAGTTAACTTGTATACTGACTTTGGATAACGCTTAAAACATTTATTCACATAAATCACTGATGTTGCCCATCATAAAGTATGCATATTCGACAAATGTGTGATATAATATGGTATAAAATATATTTCCCGATATTTTCTCACAAAAAAATGAGCTTTATTTTCATTAATTAAACTATTGCAATTGCCAGCGGAACACGGGAGATTGCTCCTAAGGCCTTCTATTATTTCAAAATTTCCTGGGGGAGGCCCCCCAGACGCCCACCAATGGGAGGGGGAAGTACCCCTCCCCCCCTCTCGCGCTTCGCGCTCGGATGCTGCCTGCGGCAACACATTGTCGTGGGAAGACCCCCTCCCATTCCCTCCCCTCTCGCGCTAACATTCTGCCTACATACCATATTTAACCCAGCTACGCCCCTGACGCTGAAACAACCGTTCGGTTTGTAGGCGTGTTCTTTTTGAACACGACTTGGTGACGCCGTAACGATTTTGATTGTGTACAGTTATCTGTATTCGAAATCATCTGCGGTAACATTGTTCTTTAGAACGAAATTTGATCGACATGTTTGCTCATTCAAGTGTGTACTCTTCAGATTATCTTTGCATCTCACCAGTAAAAGCGTGTTCTACCTCTGAAAGTTGATACTTTTAAAACTTTTTGTTATGGTGTTGACGACATCTCTTTGTCAGTAATTACAAAATAGTACAAAACAACACTAACATGTTATCCTTGAACAATGTTTTTATTACAAAACTATCCGATTTCGGCCGCATCTGTAGATAATTTTTAGGTCTAAACTAGGGAAACATGAGGCTCCCAAAAGGGTTGAGTGAATGTCCGACTATTCGATTATTGATTCTGGTAACCGGTTCGTGGTCTTCCGACCGAGTATAACTGGTTAACCGGCTAACCTTTGACAACCCTAATAGAAACATATCTCCAACATATTCAAAACATTCGACGCAATATCTATTTTAAAAGACAATGCAAATATACGAATACGGTAGTAAAGAAGTGGTATGACAATAATTGCTAGTTTTGGATTGATTAAGCACGAATTCAGCCATATTTCCTCCGCTTCCTCCTATACCATACTAAAAAGTCGTGTTTCCTCGAACCCTCCGACACCACCAGACACCACGGTTATGTTACTTCACCCCCTCCGACACCACTGAGTCCCCATGGTCATGTAACTTCACCCCTCCGACTTCAGACCCTGCTGTAATGTTACCCCACCCCTAACACCAGACCCCGTGGTCATGCTACTCTACCCCTCACACACAAGACCCCGCGGTCATGCTACTCTACCCCTCACACACCAGACCCCGCGGTATTCTACTCTACCACTCACACACCAGACCCCGCTGTTTTGTTACCCCACCCCTAACACCAGACCCCGCGGTCATGCTACTCTTCCCCTCACACACCAGACTCCGCGGTCATGCTACTCCACCCCTCACACACAAGACCCCGCGGTCATGCTACTCAACCCCTGACACACAAGACCCCGCGGTCATGCTACTCCACACCTGACACACAAGACCCCGCGGTCATGCAACTCTACCCCTGACACACCAGACCCCGCGGTATTCTACTCTACCCCTCACACACCAGCCCCCGCTGTTTTGTTACCCCACCCCTAACACCCGACCCCGCGGGCATGCTACTCTACCCCTCACACACCCGACCCCGCTGTTATGTTACTCCACCCCTCACACAAGACCCCGCGGTCATACTACTCTATCCCTCACACACCAGTCCCCGCGGTCATGCTACTCCACCCCTCACACACCAGCCCCCGTGGTCATGCTACTCCACACCTCACACACCAAACCCCCCGGTCATGCTACTCCACCCCTGACACACCAGACCCCGCGGTATTCTACTCTACCACTCACACACCAGATCCCGCTGTTTTGTTACCCCACCCCTACCACCAGACCCCGCGGTCATGCTACTCCCCCCCCGCTGTTATTACACCAGACTCCGCGGTCATGCTCCTCTCCCCCTCACACACCAGACTCCGCGGTCATTCTACTCTACCCCTCACACACCAGCCCCCGCGGTCATGCTACTCTACCCCTCCCACACAAGACCCCGCGGGCATGCTACTCTCCCCCTCAAACACCAGACCCCGCGGTCATGCTACTCTATCCCTCACACACCAGACCCCGCGGTCATTCTACTCTACCCCTCACACACCAGCCCCCGCTGTTTTGTTACCCCACCCCTAACACCAGCCCCCGCGGTCATGCTACTCTACCCCCCAAACACCAGACCCCGCGGTCATGCTACTCTATCCCTCACACACCAGACCCCGCGGTCATTCTACTCTACCCCTCACACACCAGACTCCGCGATCATGCTACTCTACCCCTCACACACCAGACTCCGCGGTCATTCTACTCCACCCCTAACACCAGACCCCGTGGTCATGCTACTCTATCCCTCACACACCAGACCCTGCTGTTATGTTACTCCACCCCTAACACAAGACCCCGCGGTCATGCTACTCTACCCCTCAAACACCAGACCCCGCGGTCATGCTACTCTACCCCTCACACACCAGACTACGCGGTCATGCTACTCTACTCCTCACACACCAGACCCCGCGGTAATGCTACTCTACCACTCACACCAGACCCCGCTGTTATATTACTCCACCCCTGACACACCAGACCCCGCGGTATTCTACTCTACCACTCACACACCAGACCCTGCGGTCATGCTACTCTACCCCTCACACACCAGACCCCGCGGTAATGCTACTCTACCACTCACACCAGACCCCGCTGTTATATTACTCCACCCCTGACACACCAGACCCCAGGGTAATTAACGACACCAGACGATATAGTCATGTTACGTCGTCCCCTCCGACACCAAACCCCACTGTCATGTTACTTCACAACCTCCGACACTAGACCAAACGGTCATGTAACGTCACCCCTTCTGACACCAGAACACACGGTCATGTTGCTTTAGGCTCTCCGACGCCAAACCCCACGGTCATGTTACTTCACGTCCACCGACACCAGACCTCACTGCAATATTTCTTCACTCCCTTTGACACAAGAACTCACTATCATGTTGCTTCACCCCTTCCAATACCTGACAACACGTTCATGTAACTTCGTCCCCTCCGACACCAGACCCGACGGTCATGTTACTTCACAATCTCCGACACACGGCAACACTGTTATCTTACTTCCCCCCCCCCTCCTACACCAGACACTTCGATCATGTTACTGCACTCCCTCCGACACTAGACCCCACGGTAGTGTTACTTAACCCCCTCCGACACACGGCAACACTGTCATGTTACTTCACCCCGTCCGAGAGAGACCTCACCGCCATGTTACTTCACCCCTTCCGACGCCAGACCTCACTGTCATGTTACTTCACTCCATCCGACACCAGGCCCACACTAATGTTACTTTCCTCCCTCCGACCCCAGACAACACTGTCATGTTACTTCACAACCTCCGACACCAGACCCCACGGTAATGTTACTTCACTCCCTAGGACACCAGACCCCAAGGTAGTGTTACTTCCCCCCTCCGACACCAGACCCCACGGTAGTGTTACTTCACCCCCTCCGACACACAGCAACACTGTCATGTTACTCCACAACCTCCGACACCAGACACTTCGATCATGTTACTTCCCTCCCTCCGACACTAGACCCCACGGAAGTGTTACTTCACCCCCTCCGACACCAGACCCCACGGTAGTGTTACTTCACCCCTCCGACACACGGTAACACTGTCATGTTACTTCCCTCCCTCCGACACCAGACACTTCGATCATGTTACTTCACTCCCTCCGACACCAGACCCCAGGTTCATGTTACTTCACCCCCTCCGACACACGGCAACACTGTCATGTTACTTCAACCACTCCGACCGACGCCAGACCACACTGTCATGTTACTTCCCTCCCTCCGACACCAGACACTTCGATCATGTTACTTCACTCCCTACATACCTTTAGTGTTTATCAAATTCTATAGAGTACGAAACTAAAAGATAAAATCTAAATTAACATTGAAAATTATAGGATAACAAAGCTACCTATGGAAAATCTGTTTGTGTGAGAGGGGTATATAAAGGACCTGCGCGCCAAGCACCATATCACACCGATCTCTCCTGTAAACATGAAGACCTGCCTCATCCTCCTCGGCCTTGTAGCAGCCTTTGTGGCTGTTGACTGCGGCGTAATTGCTGAAACTAAACGGCAACAGCAGGTGTCTGAAGTCAACATGATTGATAGCATGGTTTACATAACTGGACGTAAGTATTATTCTCCCTCCCCCAACTCCCGCACAAATCACTAAAGCATTGATGAAAAATGAAACTTTTTACAAAATATTTAAGATATTTCAGCTATTTATTTCAGTGATATATATAGTATACTATTTTAAATAAGATGCTTTCAATATAGATCAGATTATTTCTTCTAAATCACATACTGCATCAATCACTTGAATCACTGAAACGATTTTCTGTAATCTAGACAAAATGGGATGTTTTCTGTCACAAGACATAAACTAAGATGAGTTTCTGTAATCTAGAAATAAAGGGGTGTTTTCTGTCACAAGACATACACTAAGATGGGTTTCTGTAATCTAGACATTATGGGATGTTATCTGTTACAAGACATAAACTAAGATGAGTTTCTGTAATCTAGACATAAAGGGGTGTTTTCTGTCACAAGACATAACCTAAGATGAGTTTCTGTAATCTAGACATAAAGAGGTGTTTTCTGTCACAAGACATACCCTAAGATGAGTTTCTGTAATCTTGACATAAAGGGGTGTTTTCTGTCACAAGACATAACCTAAGACGAGTTTCTGTAATCTAGACATAAAGGGGTGTTTTCTGTCACAAGACATACCCTAAGATGAGGTTCTGTGATCTAGACATAATGGGATGTTTTCTGTCACAAGACATAAACTAATATGAGTTTCTGCAATCTAGACATAAAGGGGTGTTTTTTCTGTCACAAGACATAACCTAAGACGAGTTTCTATAATCTAGACAATCTAGTTACTGTGATCTAGAAAAATTGTGGTGTTTTCTATGACAAGATATACACTAAGATTGGTTTCTTGGATCTAGACACATAGTTTGTTTCTGTTACAAGTTATACGCTAAGCTGGGTTTCTGTGATCTAGGCACATTGTGGTGTTTTCTGTAACAAGACATATACTTAGATGGATGTCTATAATAAGACATACACTAAGATGAGTTTCTGTAATCTAGACGTATTGGGGTATTTTCTGTAGCAAGACATACACAAAGATGGGTTTCTCTGATCTAGATATAATGGGATGTTTCCTGTCAGAAGACATACACTAATATGAGTTTCTGTAATCTAGACATAAAGGTATGTTTTCTGTCAGAAGACATACACTAAGATGAGTTT